ATGTGTTGACTGTCCAACTTCTGTATCCCTGTTACCGTACTCATTTGTCGTGTCATTGATGTAATTCTGATTTGATTGTTGTATAGGTTTACTTATTATTCAGGTCAATATTGCTAAGGGCCATTTGCATTGCAGGGGAAGAATACGCACGCTTGAGTTTAGTTTTATTTTTGTTTGGTAGATACCAAAATGTTGAAATCTGAGATCAAATCATATCTCCTTCAGCAAGCAACATGTGTCCAGCACCTGGCACAAACATCAAGTAATCAACCTCGAACAATGGAACAGCTTTTTCTGCAATTGGCCTTTGATTCTTAGACCCATAGCCATGAATAACACCCACTCCCTATGCTCAGTGCAAAATACGAGCTCCGGGACAAATGATAATAAATGAGCCCAAACGAATTCTGCCCTTCAGGAAATGATTTAATATGTAAGGCTCCCCCATCGCATGCTTCTCCAGGGACTGTGATGTAAGTGTAAGATGAAATACTCTCACAATAATCATGTGTGTATATTCCTACCAGCCCTATTACCTGGGGACATCTAAGTCAGGGTCAAGATGTCTGTATCCTTACAGTGACATTACGTGTAGTTTCAGCAGGAAGAAAGCTGTTTGAGTCTCTTGATCTCTCTGTAGATGAAAACAATCCTACCGATGGCTGAGGACCTGTCCTGTTCCCTCCACTCACTTGTCACTGCCTCTGCTGCTTGCTGCAAAAAAAAAAAAAGACAGGAAAATACAAATATCCAGTGAGAGACAGGAGGAAAGTAGGGATGGAGAGTAAGGAAAGGGGGGGGGGGGGGTGCAACTCATCATCTGCTGTAATTATTGCCTGTGGGACAAGCACCCAGGGTACAAAATCAACCCAAAAGGACAGTGAGTGACAGTGCTGCATGTTCATGGGCATTTTTCTCTCTTTCCAGGAGCTGAAAATCTTTGGATAAACTCCTGAGTGACAGAGGCAAGTGAAACTGCCAGTGGGTGGTGCATGGGCATCTCTAATGCTTGCAGATACAAGCCTAGTGCTGCCCTTGCCCGCTGCATGTATTCTATTTATACCACAGTAGAGGGAGCGTTGGCAAAGCATCTCAGAGGAGCAACCTTTTGTTATACCTACAGCTGCTCCCTTCCCTGTTAGTGCAACCGTCACAAAAATAATCACAATAATAAGGTTAATTGATTCACTGTCTTGTGACCATGCTGAAGCCGACTCGGCCATAGCCTGGTTATTGCATCTTGTGCCTCTGTGATTTCCTACAGGGAAGGATGCACCTGAAATACCTCAGGACATTTAGGATCCGTTCACCTAGCTGCTTCTCCCAACAGCTCACCTCATTCTGGCCTTTGTATCATGTCTGCTAGAACAAGACGTTGGTTTTCCTTGTGCTGATCACCAGGCTCAGCACTGAGGGACTACATTTGAAACCAGAGAGTGAGCTGTGTGTTAAGAAATAGCCCTGGCACTAAAATGTTTAAAGTTACTCTTTGTTTCCCTGACTTCTCTCCCAATTTAGGTTATCCAAATCCAGATTCCCCCCAGACTTGCCCACGAGATGTAATTCTAAGAAAATATTGTTTCATTTGTTTTTTAACGCCTGCATTTCTCACATTTCCTGTTCCAGTTTCAAAGTGGGCCTGAGCTCCCCTGCTAACATTGCCCCAGCTGTTATTTTGGGGATCTGAGAGAGGGAAGATAAAATAAACCAAGAGCGAGGAGTTCGTTTCCTGCATTTCCCCCTTGTCAGCCACAGGTTCTTTTTCCTAAGTCAGGAAAGAGTTACTGACATTCCCCTCTTTCCAGGTCAAACAGAAGGATTAGACGAAGGGTACTGCTAACGTGGGTCAAGGTATTAAAAAATGGATGCCTAAATTTAGGCTCCTAATTTTGTATTTTGAGCCCCTAAATAAGGGCTTGATCTTATGCCCTTTGAAGTCAATGCCAAAGCTTCCACTGAACTCAATCTGCAGTATGAAGTCCTAAATTATGGTCAGGTTCTTAAAAGTTCTCAGCGTCTCACAGCTCCAAATAAGTCATCTCCCGGCCCCTCTGCAAATCACGCGTCTTCCCTTAAGTGCCTAAACATGGAGCTCGTGCTTTGGGGTATTCCATATTTAAAATCCTGCCTGTTGATGCTGTCTTTCTTTCTGTCTCAGGAGTCACTGACATGGGAAAGATAACAAGAAGTGTAGCCAGGACATGCATTGATTTGCTTTTTTGGTGAGTGGTGCTCAGCACGAACGCTGCGGATTCTATGGCAATGTCAGTATTTATTGCGGTGTAACGTTAACATGGAAGGCACATGAATGTCCTTGCCGGTGCCAGAATTCAGGCAAGTACATGACCATTTGCACAAACCTCACATACACCGCTTTCCTGGTAACAGGATGTTGGCAGGTGGGAAGATCACAGGATCCAGATGAAACGTAAGATGAGATGAGCAATCCTGTAGTGGTAATTTTAGAAGCTGGGTTCTGTACATTATTTACAGTACATTGTAGCTTTAAGGGGATAAGGCTACCCCTTGCCACTCATGGACTTAATAGTTTCTGTGAGATTTCTGTGGAGGGCTTTCGGTAGTGCAGCAGTTGGAGGGATTTTGTCCATCCAGAGAAGTGTTCAGATTGCAAGGTGTTTGCAGTAGAACCACCTTCATTCATAAACTGGTCACCCAGCAGGAGGGGAAATGGCACCAAAGAACTTCTACCAATTAAAGAATAAAAAGCACCTAGTGAGTTATCTGCTTCCTGCTGGCCTGAAGTGCAGAGGCCTGGCATAAGGAAGGAGCTGCTCACAGCAAACTGTAACAGTCGGAAGTGGTTCTTGCCTCCAGGAGCTTTAATTTGGCTTTACCTTTAGTTTGTGAAAAATCCCCTATTTTCTCAGGAGTGGGGACTTGAAGTCTCACTATCTCTTAGAGAATATTTTTGACAATTGCAGTCTGAATATGGGAAACTGGTTATTTTGTATGAATATTAGGAAAAAAATTCTTCCCTGTGAGAGTGGTGAAGCCCTGGCACAGGTTGCCCAGAGAAACTGTGGCTGCCCCATCCCTGGCAGTGTTCAAGGCCAGGTTGAATGGGGCTTTGGGCATCCTGGTTTAGTGAAAAGTGTCCCTGTCAATGGCAGGGGGTTGGAACAAGATGAGCTTGAAGGTCCCTTCCAACCCAAACCATTCTAAAATTCAATGATTCTATTAATATGTATTTTGTCAGAAACCCTCTGCAACAATTGGTTAAAAAAAAAAAATGGAGAAAGCAAAGAAAAAGGGATTCTTCTGCAATGTTTGAACAACACCCACCACTCTGTAGAAAAGTGATCCCTGAGGGGAAAGGGATTATATTCTCCTCCAGGGTTCCACTAGGCTGGGTTTCTCCCCTTGCCCAGAAGGAAGGGCCATCATCACCGGGGGTGCAACTGTGCAGCGGGGCAATGGAGGGGCCAGACGGTAGCTGGAGTCGCTCCCTGCTTGGACAGACCTGTCGCTCACGTCCCAGCCTTCCTCGGGGTCAGTGTGACCCGGTGACATCCCCACAGACTGCACTGACACAAAATCTTAACAAAAATAAAGGGAAGAAGAGGTCTAAGATCTACTGAAAGCAAAGAATTGTATTTTATGCCTCGTAGTTTCCCTCAGCCAGCAGGTGCCTCTGTAGAGCCAACGCGTTGCCTGTGTCAGTAGCAGTCTGTGGCACAGCACTGGAATACCTGCTTTCCAATGATAATATAGCCTGTTCTTTCTTCGATGTCCTTTTTTCCCCTTCCTCCAGCCCATGGTGAGCCCCAGGAATCTGCCAGTCTGGACTTCCATTTGGTTCACCACCCAAGATCCTCAGAGGATGGTGGCAGGAGGGAGATTTGTATACATTGACACAAGCATATTGTTACTGTACATCCCGTATGGGGAAATTTTGCCTGTGACCAGAGCAAGGGAGCTCAGTTGGAGGATGCCTGCAGTAACCTCTATGAGACAAAGCTTGCCCTTCGAATACCTTCCCAGAAAGCAGGGTGGGGTTTGTCTGGCAAGAGTCTTCACCTCTTCAACGGGGACACCCTTCTGCACCCCGGAGGACCGCTCAGGCAGGCCCACTGTGCCAAGGGTGGTGACACTGCATACAGAGAAATAAAACCCAGCTGAGGATGATCCCTCCTCCACCCCTTTGGCACGTAGGTGAGGGAGAAATCCCTGTGTCTGAAAAGCGAAGCCCTCGGAGGGGGGGGGGGGGGGGGGGGGGAGGGGGATGGGGGAGTGGGAAGGACAGATGATGACTGTGATGGCAATTTGTCCCCTGCTGCCCCCTCCCCCCAAATGGCTCTGCTGGACTTTGAAGCGATTCCCACGGGCAAGGTGAATTTTGACCCGAACGTGCATCCATCGGCAGGGCAGAACGGGCGGAGTGACGGCGGCCGGGGGGAACACGGCAGGGCTCGGAGGTTGGGGGCGAAATGCTCGAGCCACGGGGGGCTGCGGTCCCGCGTGGGGCGGGCGGGGAGAGCGGCGGAGGGGGCGCGCACCCCTTTACCTCCGTGGCCTTTTCGTCCATCGCGGAAAGGGATGGGAGGGGAGGAGGGAGGGAGGGGAATAGCCGAGGAGGGTGGGACTTTGCCGGAGCGTCTCTCCCCGCTGCCGCGCCGAGCAGTTGCAGAGCGCCGGCGAGCAGGCGGCGGGGTGGGCGCTGCGCTGGGAGCGGGCGCTGCGCGGAGCCGCCGCGCCGGGGCGAGGAGCGCACGCCGTGCCGGCGGGGGACAGCGCGCCGCGGGAGCAGAGCCCTCCCCGGGCACCGGGACCTGCTGTTGGCTTGCCGCCTTGCTTTATCCTCTCGGTTAATTTATTTTTTCCCCATCTATACTTTGATCCGCTGGGATTTTTTTTCCTCCCTTTCCTGCAGAGCCTCTCCCCGCCCCAGTTCCCTCCCTCTCTAGAGCCAGGTTGGATTTTTTTCCTTTTTTTTTTTTTTTTTTCTTTTTACATTACTATTCTGATTTTTTTTTAAGCGGTGAACAGAGGGAGAGAGAGAGAGACAGAGTGGGCAGGAGGAAAGCGCTCTGTTCGTCCCCTCCGCCGCCACCACCTCGACTTGCGGAGAGGGGTCGGGCCGAGTGGCGGCGGGAGCAGCCCCTTCCTTCCCCCCGGGGAGGCGACCCCGGCTCGGGGAGCCGCCGGAGGCAGTCACCGCGAAGAGAAGGGGGCGCAGGCAAAGAGATGCATTGAAACTTTCCGCGCAAACTTTGGCGTGAGTGCGCGAAACCGAGAGAGCGCGGCGCGGGTGCCTGCTGCCCCGGCGAGGGGAGCGCGGCCGCGGACGGGCGCCGCTGTGGAGCTCGGACTGCCCAGCGGTGGGGGCCGAGCAGCGGCGGCTGGGCGGCCGCGGAGCCTGCGCTCGGCCCGGCGGAGCGCCCGCAGAGAGCAACAGCAACAGCAGCAGCAGCGAGGGCCGGCGGAGAGCCGGGCTTATGGAGGGGTGAAACCGGAGACCCCGAAGAGGAACCCTCCTTTTCGCGGAGAACCTCGCAGCGCCCGGTCGGCGACACACCAGGAGGAGGCGGCGGCGGCGGGCACGGAGGAGGCGCGGGCGAGAGCGCGGCGGGGCGGCGGCGGCGGGGCGGCGGCGAGGCGGAGCGCGGCGGGCCCCGCTCCGCTGCGTGCGCCGGCAACCATGAACTTTCTGCTCACTTGGATCCACTGGGGGCTGGCGGCGCTGCTCTATCTGCAGAGCGCGGAGGTAAGCGGCGGGGACTGCGCGGGACCGGGGCTTTTGTGCCCCGCGTACGGCAGGGGAGGGTGTGTGGGACGGCGCGATGGAAAAGACTTTACCCCCCTCTTTTTATTTTTTCGCCCCCCCTCGCCTCCCACCTGCTCGGTGCGATGCCCCCGCGCCGCTGGCAGCGGGTGCGGTGGGTTCCCGCAGCGCACACACGTGCGTGCAGCGCTGCGGCCGGGGGGGGGGGGGAGAAGCGCTGCCCGGCTCCTCGCAGCCCCTCGGAGCGGCCGGCAGCGCCGTGCGGAGTGCCCGCGCACGTGTGCGCGCATTGCACGCCCCCAGCGGGGGGGCTCTCACCGGGGCGGCGGTGGCGGGGCCGGGGGTCCCGCCGGGGCGCTGCTTGGCGCGGGGTAGGGAGGCAGCGCGCTGGCTTCTTGCATCAGCCTCGCCTCCCGTCCCCGGGTTTCCTGACATTGCAAAGGGTGTTTCGGCGGTATTTGCCTTAGGTCCCAGCTCGGGTTCGTGCTGCCGAGTGGAGTTCAAAATACCTAGCTGGAAAAACAAATAGAGATCAAAGAGGACAAAATGGATCCTGAATTTCTTCCAGATTGGAGAGAAAAAAAAAAAAAAATCACAATACATATCTCCTGCATCGAGGTTAAAAAAACGTGCATTTTTCTCTTCTCTTCCTCCTCGATCACTTTTACTTTTGCCTCATTGTCATTCCCGAGGGATTAGAAACCAACTCTTCAACTCTTCCTTCTTTTCTTTCTCTTATTTTTTTCTTTTAAGAAAGAAAAAAGCGTTCTGTGGAAACCTCTCCTCTAAATCTGCCTTTTCTAAAGAGTCAAGAGGGCTGTGTTGCCAAGAGATATTACAGGGTTTAGACAGAGTGCCCACGTGAAAGTGGCTGTTCGCTAGGCGGGCAGGGATTATGTTTTAAAGGCTATAACAGGTTAGTTCTCTCCTGCCATTTCTGCCTGGCACTTGGAGAGGACGCGGGCCAGATCATCTCCCACAATCGTGATAATAAACGTTGCAAAGTAATTAGTTATTCACATTGTTTGTTCAGCACCGATGCTGGAAGGTAACTCCCCAATTAGGAGCCATTTCAGCTGTAACCGAAGTCATGCAGGCACTGCACGCTTTGTTTCTAGCCTGTTATATCTCTACTTTCTCCGGTGACAGCCGCACATTGTGCTGTGCTCGATGGGAACCGAGGCGCAGTTCTCTCTCGAGTGTGGCACAGAGCAGCTCCGTGCTGCCTGCCTGCCAGATTTGGCTCATGGGACAATTCTTTCCACTCTTCAAGAGTTTTTCCACCGTCACCTAAACCGGGGATTTCTTTGCTTCCCAGCTCCTCAGTAAACTTGTGCAGCAGTGTCTGTTCCCGGCTGTAGGTTAGACAACTCTGTACCCGTGTGCAGTGATAATACCCTTTAACCCTCCCCTTGCTCCTTCTCCCCTCCCCTTCCTCTTCCCCAGAGGAGGAAGCGGCAGATCAGGTAGAGTCCAGGTCCTGTCCTCAGGAGCTGTGTAAAAGCCTCGTGCTGCCAGTTCTCCTGGGCAGGAGGATGATGCCGATGAGAGAGAGGATAACGGTGGGAAAAGAAGTAGAGAAGAATTAACGGGGTGTCGGTGGGTTTGGGTGGGGGGATGCTGTGACATGCGAGTTGTTCAGATAGCTGGGCAATGCAGGCCATGTAAGTGCTCAGGCAGATCAATGGTGAGGTCTTGCCCTTCAGTTCTGTCCTTATTTGTCCGTTGATCGCCTGGGCACTACGGTGATGGGAACGTTAGAAATACCAGCAGATCTCACGTAGGCAGCTTGACAATGTCTCTGGGCATGGCAGAAGGCATGACTCTTCACGCCGGGTCTAGGGTTTTGTGCTTTGATGATAATATTTATCTGTACTGTTAATCTGGCTGTCGTGCTGAATAAAACCTATCTAGTTAGCCAGGCGTGTTGGAGAGAATTAAATAAAAGCTCTGGCAGAGGCTGCATTGGGAAAGTGGGGTCCAGTGTGTGTCGGGCAGCTTTCCTGAAGGCAAAGGAGGAGGGAATGCTTCTCTGGTGAAGGTGGCAGGGGGATGACTTATTGTTAGGGTCGCTTCTGCAGCCAGGTAGGGACAGTGGGAAATTGTGCCATGGTAGGGGCTGGGTGGTGCTGATGCCACAGGTGTCTGCCTCTGCTGGTGGCGACAGCCTTCCTGCACAGGAGAGGGTAGAAAAGGTGGTTTTGCAGTGCCACCCTCCCATGTGTTGCTGTGCTGAGCTGCAGTGCAGTCCTCCAGCTCCGTGGGGTCAGAGAGGTTGCATTGTTGTCCCCTTCCAGCCCCCCTCCACCCCCCCCCCCCCTTTTCCTAAAGAACAGGGTATGGTCTGTCATTCCCCATCTTCCTTTGTCTGTGGTCTTGATGAGAACCTAGTGGCAGGTCACCCCTGATGAGGGTCTGGGGACTCTTCTGTTCCTGCCCTGAACTGCAGAGGGACCTGGACACACCAGCTGTATTGCCATAGGGAAGAGGCAGGGATCAGACAAGGAGGGAGGGAGAATGAGCCTGTGACTAGACTGCTAATGATCACACACCCACCAGGCTCCCTGCCTTTGGTGTGCCTCTGTGCCAGGCCACGATGGGGAGCCACCAGAACCTGCTTCTCTAGCCTTTAGGCAGCTAGAGCACAGCGGGTCACCTTCCCCATTGCTGCTCCAGGTCTGTGCTCAGAGGATAGGCTGGGAGGGAGCACTCCTTTGGAGCAGGAAGAGGGAAGCCCATGCTGACATCTCAGAGGGGTTTGCTGATTCCTGAGCAACCCCAAATCTGCTCTCCTGTCTGCCCTGCTTCGTGTCAGAGGTGCCTTGGCTGTGCTGGCAGCTTTCAGGATTACTGACCTCTATTTGCACGTACAATAGAGAAGGAGTGCAGTGAGTCCTGTCCCCCCCCCCCCCCCCTTAAGCAGAAACCGCTGAGAATTTCTAGCGCCTAAGACGAAAAGTGCCTTAACTCCTGTCCCAGAGTCCCTCTCAAAGTGGATGGATTGTTTGTTCCAGTCCTAAACAGTTACAAAGCTCTTTTAATGAGCCTGCACAGATTAGGGGGAGGGGAAGGAAGAGAAAGAGTGCTGGTGGTAGTGGTGAGGGGGGATGATGGTTAGAGAGGAATGACATGATTAACCTTTTCTCTCCCTTCAGAGTATAATGTGCTTGGGACAGGGACTTGGGGAGAAGGGAGACAGGGAAGGTGCAGGTTTATTTGTTAGGGAGAGTTTTACTCCACTGCGGGATACCCATTTGCTGCAACCTCTGAAGGGCACAGAAAGGAGTTTCCCCTTGGTCAGCCCCATTCCTGGGGTCATTTATCCTGCTTTTGAACCCAGGAATTGCTTCCACACCTCTGTGAAATGTTGAAAATCTGTTCGAAGGAAATCGTATTGCAGAGCTGTTGGGTAATGCCAAAAGCCAGCAGAGGAGAGTGTGACCTTCAGGCTCCCACCGAAGGGCATGCCAGGCCTTGTCCCTTGGAACGCTTCTGGTTCCCCATTGCCCTGACTGATATGTAGCAGACTGGTTTAAGGTGAGGCAAAAGCCCCTGCCTTGCCTGCTGTTCTGGTGGATGGGCTTTGAGGGCACTAGCCGCAGGTGAAAGGCACTGCCAAAAGGGCAGGAGAGTTTCTTGGTATAGTGAGCAGAGAGCATGTTACTGAGTTCTGGGAAACCTTTTGGGTTTCTGGTGAGAACTCCCTGGGAATGTTAGGAAGCCCTCTACAGACTTGGTACTGGTCTCGTTTCCCATCCTTGGGGTGGGATCACAACCCAGGTCTAGGTGAGTTCCCCAGGAGTTCAGGCTTTTCTGCTCCAGTACATCAGGGGCAGGGCGAGGTGCTGGCTGGGTGCAGGTGAGCAGTGGAAGTGTGTGGCTTGCTTCTGCTTCCCATCACCCGTGCACTATATGTGCATGCAAGGAGGCAGAGGGCTTGGCAGCTGGCTGGGCAGCCTGGCATAGAGAATGGGTAGAATGACCCTCAAAGTGTCTCTGAGCTAATTTTGCACGGTCCATCACGGTCATTCTGTGTGTGAACCCAAAATCGCTTTGCAAAAGGTCCTGGAGGTGTTGTGACTTGGATAAACTGACTTGGCTCGTGATCCTGTTCCTGTGCTCCAACACTGACTGAAGCGTTTCTGCCCTTGATGCGGTTTTCTTTTGACCCTTAGGCTGTCAGGCACTGAGTGGCTTTGGAAGGCCTCTGCAACCTCTACTGCCTCCATTTTGTTCCTGCTGTTGCAGTGACCTTCACACTTCAGGAATGAAACTGTTTCTAGGAACCTGATTTTTAAACTGTTGTCCCAGCACTGAGATTGCGCACGCAACCCTCTCCTCCCCAGAGAAGAAACAGATCCACGTACAGGGTGGCACACATCTGGGCTGCTGGGTTGTGCCCAGGTACAGAAAGACTTCAGTTGAAATAAGTAACAAGGAGGCTTTAGACAAAGGGAACTGTGCACAGACACAAAGGAGCGGCTGGGAAAGGGGCTTCTAGGGCTTTGTTGGCTCTCTTGCCCCTTCCTTTTAAAAGCTGACACTTTGGGCTGCTCGGAGGGTGGTGCTGCCCTGTGCATGGGGCTGCCTGGAAGATCATAGGTGGTGGATTCCCGTTGTGAGCTTGGGGTGGACTTCGTTTGGTGTGCTCAGTTCTGTCTCTAGCTACGACATCAGAGGGCCTTTTTCTAAGCCTAAATGCAGCATATCGCTGATGAAGCAGTATTTTTGTATGTATCACCACTCTCTTGTGGGGCCTCTGCTGAAAGACAGCAGGTTCTGGGGTGGATGGCGTCACACAGGTGGCAACATAGCTTGGAGAAGTGAAGAAAGCTGGGCATTTTTCAGTTTTGGTTCAGAACAGAACAGCAGGGGGAAACCTGACTTGGCTGGAAAGTTACGTCAGAGCCAAAGCCCTCATGCAGAGCAGGAAGAGTGGAGTTTTTGGTTCACCTGGAATTAAAAAGACTTCCTTAGCACAGTGGTGTCACGCTTCTCCATCCCGGTCTGGGGGTGGGTTACCTGTCGCCACTCCTGCCTGCGTCAGCGGTTTGGAAATGCCCCTCACCCCAGAAGGCAGGAGTGAACACAGAGCTTGGGGCCTGCCTGGGTTTTGCCCAGGGGAAGCCACAGGGAGCAGAGGAACGGGAGCATGGCCATGCAAGGCTGGGGACCGGCACCGTTAAGTGAGGGTGTGCACTGCCCGCCCTTCCAGAGGAAAGGAAGGAAACCTGGGCAGTTTGGCGGTGCTGTCGGCAAAGCAGTGCTCTCACAGATAACCGCCCTGACACCCGGACAGATACCAGCGCCTCGCTGGCCACCGCTGCTCAGCACAGACATCTGTGACATTGACAGGGGAGCGATGCCCTTTTGCTCCTGGCCACCCTTCATTCCCCTGTGCCCTCCAGAGGGGATTCGCCTTTCCCAGGGGAAGTGGAAGCCAGGGGAGGAGAGCGATGCTCCCCAGGCCCCACTGGTCATGTCAGCAGTAGAAGGTCACTCCTGTTACTTTTCTCCCTTGGGCCCACATTTGCTTGCTGGTTTTGGCTTAAAACCGCCCAGGGTCGCTCCCGAGGGACCCGTTTCTCCCTCCGGGGCCTCCGTCGGCCGCCGCGCTGGAGGCCCGGCCGCCGCCTTCCCGCCTGCCCCTTCCCTCAGCGCGGGTCCGGCCCGTCCCGCCCGTGTCCCGCTCGGCTCCTCGGGGGACGGGAGGAACAAAAGGCGCCTCTGTGCCCGCCCGGGGGGAATATAACGGCTCCACCTCGGGGGCGTCCCCTCCGCCTCCTGCCCGGGAGCCCTCCCGCGCCCCGGGACCGCGCCGCGGCTCCGTGTGGTGACCGATTTTCTGTTATCTTTGCAGTTGTCGAAGGCAGCTCCTGCCCTGGGGGATGGGGAGCGGAAACCCAATGAAGGTAAGCGCGGGGGGGCTGCCCGGCGGGCGGGGGGCGGGCAGGGTGGCGGGGGCCTCGGAGGAAGGAGGCCCGAGCCCCGGGAGCCGGCGGCGGCCAACACCGCCACCTCCCGGGGAGCGGCGGCGGGAGCGGGGGCCCGCCGCCATTAACCCCTTCGCTGCGATGGGCCGCGCCCCCCCCGCCTTGCGGGGCTGTGGCGGCCGGGGGTCGGGGTGCGGGGACCAGGTGGCCGTGGGGCCGCCCCCCGGGGCTGCCGTGGGGCCGGGGCGTGCAGCAGGGCCGGCCCAGCCCAGCCCACTGCTGGTTTCCCACAACTCTGAGGAAAACTGCGTGCGTGCGCCTGTGCACATACACACGCTCATTTATATATATATATATACACACACACACATGCTCGCGCACACAAAGAGCTGAGTAGCGGCGAACAGTTTGCTAGGCATTCGCCACGGTGCTGTAGGAAGGGATTTGTCATCTTCACTGTGGTGGTGCCCGGCTGGGTGGCCAGGGCTGATCTCTGAACAAAGCCTAAAACAACGCCCCGGCTCCAGCCGGGTCTCTGGGGGAGAGACGGAGAGAAGGGCAGCCCAGGGTGGTTTTCTGGAGTTGTGGCTCCTGACAGTCCCAGGTACCCCACAGTTAGGTTATTGCTTAGTGCTGTACAGAGCCAGGCTTGAAAAATACACCCTCTCACTCCAGCCTGAGCTAGCAGGCTTAGCAGATTCAGGAGACAGCAGTGTGATCCGATAGGTTCTACTCAATTTATTGCTTGTGGTCCAGTAGGGGCAAGGCAATTGCCTGGTGAGGAAACAAGGTGGTGCCTCAGCAGCTGTTGTGATTTTGGGTCTGTCCAGCTGCCCAGAGGCTAGGCTGTGGCATTGTCCTCTGCCTTGTTGGTTTGTGCAGTTAAGTGTAGACCGAGAGAATGGTCAGCCCCCAGGATCGTTAGTGACACCTCCCACAGGAGCCCTGTCTTGTGGACCCCAGTGCGTTGCAGGAGGTTGGCCTTCTGTCTGCAGTCCTCAGTTCAGAAGTGGGGTTAAAGGGCTGTGGACTCTGGAGCCTTGAGGCTGAGGTGATCATCAGCTGCTTTAAGACCATCCCGACCGTGTCTTCCCTACACCTTCGTAGCGGAGCAGACCGCTGGCTGCGTGGCGGGGTCTGGCGAAGGTCTTGCAGGGTCCCCGCGGGTGGTGACCTCCCGCGTTATTCCATCTGGAGGTCAGCAGAGGGCTCTAGCAGTGTGGGCCCACATTGGCTTTTTTGGTGGTGGTGCAGTGGATTTCAATTTCTGTAACTTTATTGGTGTGACAGGCTAAGCGTGCATTGCCAGGGGCTTGTGGCAGGCTGTGTTTGGGATAGGTGTCCATTTTGCACGGGCAAAATCTGCTGGCAGGCTGCCGCCTGTTGCGCTTGACCCTTGCTCCTGCTGAAGTCAACAGAAGAAGGTTCAGTGACTCCAGAGGGATCAAAATGGAGCCTGCTGTGAGGCTTATTTTGGTAGCCAGTCCTCTGCTGTTGGTAGAAAGGAGCTAGTGTCCTCATCTGTGCCATTTGTTCTGTCCGACTAACTTCCTGGGGAGGAGAAGAATCAAATTTAATTCCCTGTCCCAGGAAGGCTGATGGGATTGCGGGAGAAGTTAGTCTGGCAATGTGAGGGGTGAGACTTTGGTGCTGTTGCCTTGGTGCTATTTCTGGTTCTGCGATGCAGATAGATCTGTGAGCTAGAAATCAAGACTGTTGGCATCACCTTCCTGGCTCTACTTCCATCCTGCTGTTTGACCTTGGAGGTTCTCTCTCTGTACCTCAGTTTCTCTTTTGCAAAGAGGGGACGATGATATGCCTGTGTTCCACAAGGACAGTCCTGTAGCTCCTTCCACTGAAGCTTTTGGAGGCTTTGGGGTTGGGGTAAAAGGTGATTTTGTGTCTTTGGCCTTTTCATGCTGTCCCTGAGATGTCGAGCTGTAACAGGTTTTTATTTGGGATGGATTCATTCTGGTTGGAGACTGTAAGTTTAGCTTCAGCCCCTACCCTTTTGTGCTCAAGAGAGCCTTCCACATGTTTTGTGGCACGGGAAGTTGTAGAGGAGGCAGACAAACACTCTTTGTTCCACGAGAAAAGATTTTCTGGTATAAATAAAAGAAACCACCAGCACTTGTGGCAGCACTTTTATTTTTAAAAGAACAGTATGTCTGCATTGCTGCTAAGCCATTGATGGCAAGGGGGGCAGAGTGATCATGAACTTGTTCCTTTTCTAGTATAGCATGTTCCCACTCAACTGCTCCAAATTTGGACGTAATCCTGCCTGCTGTGGCTGTGCCTGTGCCTGCCCTGAAGAGTTAATGTGGGCCTGGACTGGGTTTTAACCTTACTTCCCCCTCCATTGACAAAGAAGAACCTCTGACTCAAATCTGGAGGTGTTTTGAGGGGTAGGAGAGTGGGTTAGATGCGGGATTAACTTTAAACGTGGGCTGAAGCCCGAATTGCAGGAAGGGAACAGGCCAAGTGTTATTAGTCCTTCAGTGACCTTCCTATGTTTCCCCATGAAAGACAGACCTTCTTCCGTCCCTGGCACAACCAATGGAAAGGAAGCACAGTCTGAATCAGCCCAGCAAAGTGTGGAATATGACTCCCAGTACATGGGAGTAAGTGTAGGTATGGTAGCAGGGGCAGGGCTTTGCTGTGAGGATGACTGTGCCTCAGTCATGTGCTCTGGTTTGGGTGCTAACTGTGCAAATGAACTATGGAGCGTTTCACAGTGTACGAGTGAATGCTCTGCGTCCAGCAAAATCAAAGCCTTCCATGGCAGGATCTTCTGACTGGCCGCTGGAGAAAGATTCCCCATTTCCTTTCCAGAGGCTAATTCAGACTTTGGAAAATCATCATATGTTAAAGTAAGGGCAAAATCTCCTAGATTCTTTAAGGAAAGGATTTGGTCATGACAAATCTCCCAGATCTCAAGTATAGTCATGAGGGTGCAGCCGTGAAAGCAAAGGCTCTGCTAAAGAAGTTGAATGTGCTGTTCTGCAGCCAATCTGTAGTCGGTATTCTCTGGTGTAATCCAGCTGTTTGTGCAGTGCAAACATTTAGGAAGCATGGCAGACATTAATCAGGTTCACTTCAGTTTTTGACTCTGTTTCGGTTTCTACCTCCTTTATGCCCCAGACTACTGCGGTGAGCAGCATTTGATCTGCACAGGTAACTGCCACTTTCCCTCCCTCTTTTCTTCCCTCCCTCCCCTTGACGTAGGTCTGCAAGCATTTTTGTCCAGAACTGTGCCTTCTCTGCCAGAGTTCCCAGATCCTTCCTGCTGGCACAGTGTGAATGATCAACAGTGCAGTTCAGCCACTGTCATTGTGCCTACAGAATTTCCCACGTATTAAATTGTTCAACTTGTTAGAATATACACGGTGGCTAAGGTCACTCTGAAGTGGAACAGGAAGAAGGAGGTAGCCACAGACAAGGTAGAAGAATAGACAGGAGGCATACTGCAGTTAGGAGAAGAGGAAAGAGGAAGGGAAAGGACAAGGAACAGAAACATGCCGTCTTCTAGACGAGGAATACCAACAAGCAGTCCATGCCTGCCAGGCTACATTTCCCTTTTCACAAGCCAGTTTCTCTTTTAATAGCTGCTCACGCTTTCTGACACTTCAGACTCCCTGGATGGAAGCTCCTCCCCTCTTGTACCCGCTCTCAGGACTGTGGCACTGTCAGCTCTGTGTGACCTAGAATTAACTCTCAACAATTAACTGCGGGCTGTGAGCTCCCAGCCCTGCAGCTTTTGCATTTTTGTGGCAAAGTAACCTTTATGCCAGTTTGTCACAAGTTCAGGGCACTTCAGAAACGCTTACTGGAGACCATTTTTTTCCATGATGCAAGCAGTTTGCTCTTATCACTCTGAGTTATCAACCTTGGTGTTGTAGGACTCTGCATACTGTACAGGTGGATCATTATAGTGCATAACAGCATGGGCAGGTACTATCTCTTTGTGTGTACTCTTATCCTCTGCTCCATTTGGGACATCCTCCTTTACCTGTGTGCTGGTAGAGCTAGGAGGCCTGGTGGGCTCTAGGTACTCACTGTTTGCAGAACTGTACTAGCAGCTGGGTTTTGTGTGTGTGTGTACTTATCTATCCTATTTCTCATCTCTTTAATTCTCTCCAACCCTTGACCAAGCAGCAGAATGAAGCTTTGGCAAGAAACTGGGAAACATTGAGAAACGCTTGTGAAATCAGTGCAGATCGCAAGCAGTTAGTGTTTGCTCCATTGGTAGGGAAGGCGGGAGATCATGGCAGATCCACCCTGTTCCCCCTCCCGCACTGCCTCGTTGTGGTTTGGTAGCCAAGTGTATGGTCTGGTTAATCCTGGGGGTGCTGTGGGCTTGCTTTCAGTCTTTCAGTGGGTGGCTTGATTCCTTGGTCTGGGAAAGTGGTCAGTGTGGAGACACAGAGGCTGTGACTTGTAGCAAGTGCTGTCATGGCTCTGAGGTGGCCTGCTGAGGTGAATGTTCTGCATGAGCAAAAGAAGTGGCTGACTGGAAGAGTGAAGATATGTGAATGCATGGTTCAGAACCTTCTGCTTGTTCTTGGAAGGGTCTCTGCTCTGAATGCTGTAGAAAGGATGCTTCTGGCTTATTCCCTTGCCTTCTAAAAGCCACTGGGGCATCCACTGGCTGTTTTTGAAAAGTGATAAAAGGCAAATTGGTGAAGGGTTTTAACCTAGAGCACAGATTATCCTCAGCAGCCTCAGGTGCCTTTTGGCTGAGCTAGTATGGCTCGTGGCAGCATATCCAAGGGTATGGGGGATAGCACGGAATATAAGTGAAGCTGTGGTCTAATTTGCCTCTGCCCTAAAGCAGCAATAAGAAGATTGTCTCCTTCTGTGCCCACTTGATTTGTGTGTGTGTGTAGGGGGTAGAGGCAAAGGACTTAGGCCTGCCTGCAAGACTGTTGGTGAAGAGCATGTGGTAGATGTGTTGCAACTGTCTGTCTCATTTTAAGTGGGGAAGCACTAGACGTTCTTGAGCTAAGTTTGCATTAACTTGTTCCCTCCATTCCTTCTTTTAGTTATCAAATTCCTGGAAGTCTATGAGCGCAGCTTCTGCAGGACAATTGAGACCCTGGTGGACATTTTCCAGGAGTACCCTGATGAGGTGGAGTACATATTCAAGCCATCCTGTGTGCCTCTGATGAGATGTGCGGGTTGCTGCGGCGATGAGGGCCTAGAATGTGTCCCTGTGGATGTGTACAACGTCACGATGGAGGTGAGGGCCCAACTTGCAAGCTGGCATGCTTGGGTGAAAGGAAGCAAGTCAGCCATCACAGCCTTTCCAAGTCTCAGCTCCCAGCTAATTCAGTGGAAGGGCACCTTACCACAGGGAACTGGAGGTTATCAGATCAGGAGGACTAACCTCTCTCCTAACCGTTGTGCCCAGCATTGCACCACGGAGGGTTAAAAGATGAATTGCCCATGTCTAATCAAGGCTAAGGGGAGAATCTGTTTTTTTGGCTCTGACCTTGCCAGTGCCCAAATAGAGTTGCTAGGAGCATGCAAAGGAGCATTTCTGCAAAGGAGCACTTCATGTTTAAGATAATGCAAAGGAACATTTCTGATGCTCTTACCTTTAAAGCCTCAAAGAAGATACTCCTTGGGCCCCTGCTGCACCTTCACTCTGTGTTTGGTCCACACAGCTGTTGATCTGAAAGCAGCTGGGTAGTGCAAGAGGGGAAAGTCTGTCAGTACTCTCTCCCGGAGGGCATGTGAGGTCAGCCTTTACCAACAGAGCAGGGGATTTGAGTCATTAGCTACGTTGGCACAGCAGGGGTGGAAAGGGGCTCTAAGGAACACACTGCTTCAGTGTCAAGTGGAAAAGCCTTTTCTGCCTCTGGGCATCCTTCTCCTTTGTTTGGAGGCTGCTGAATTCATTCCTTGGAGGAGACAGAGATGGCTGTGATAGAAAAGGCTGGGCACTTGGGGAAGATGCAAACTCTGCTTTAGAGAGCTTTGTCACCTCCCTTGTCTGCAGCCTGGATCCTAACTTGTGCCCACAGTGGTGCTGCTGTCCATTACCCTTAACCCATAGCTCCCTCACCTACTTTTTCCTTCAGCCTCTTGAACGGCCACTGTGAATATTGCCATCACTTTATGATATGAATGAGAGACATGCAGTACTAAGTGATTAACCAGTGAGCTCTTTTTACATGTCATTTGAGCTGTGTTTGAACTCTGGTGGGGAACCTGTCTGTGTCCTTCCATGGTTCCCTATACTGCTTTTCCACTTGCAGACGCTAGCTTGGGTCTGAGCATGGTGTAGCTGGGGATGGTCTTCCTACCATTCCTTGCTGAATCACAGTTTTGGGCTGATATACCTGCATGCCTGGAAGGGGTCAGAGGCACTTGAGCAGATCTCTGGTGCAAATGCTAGAGCTCGTGGTTCAGTCAGGTTCTGGGTTGAGAAACTGTGACAATACATGCATCGCTTCTAATACAATTACCCTGGAGGAATCTGGGACTTGGGTGATGGACAACATCTGGCCCTGCAGGGCTGCTTTAACCACATATGACCAGATTTACATTGTGTGTTAAGTCACTGACAAAGTGATATATCATCTGGGAAGGAATGGTGGCGTAGGTAAAAGGAGTCAGATACGGAATTTTTGCTTGGGCCCTTGTGTTAAGCCAAAGCATGCTTCTACGTGAGAGCAAGCTGGATATTCCTTTACCATCCCTCTAGCATCAACCAGGGACAGCTCAGTGAGAACCTTGCTATGGTGTTACGCCCTCTCCCATGGCTTTCTCCAAGGCAGTCCACCAGTGCTGGCACCTTGAATACATGAGCAAACAGAGCTTTGGCATGAGTCTGGTGGTGTTGCTTGCTTGTGATCAAAGACCTTCCTGACTGGGAGAATGGGGCTTCAAAGCCAGCTCAAACTCTGCCATGCTCTTCCCAGGAACACCTGGGGTGCAAATGCTTTGCTGTGCAGCAGGCTGATTTGGAGCTGTGAATATAAATAGTGAATGGGCAGTGACCCTCTCTGTTTCTTTCATTCCAGATCATGAGAATTAAACCCCATCAGAGTCAGCACATAGCGCACATGAGCTTCTTACAGCACAGTAAATGTGACTGCAGGTGAGAATGGAGCAGCACTGGTTCCTCTTGCAATAAACTTATTCTGAGCCTTTCCTTTTTCTGCTGTTGGGTTGGGACTGTTGTCCAGAGGCTTCTGCAGTCTCCTCAGCTGGTTTGCAGAGGGATGGCTGAGCCTGGGAAAAGAAGTAATTTGCTGGTGCAGCTCCTCCATCTCCAGATATCACAGGTGGACAGTACTAGCCTGCAACCTGGGGTCTTTTGGCACTGACTGCCAGTGGGATGCAAAAGGAGAGTAAACACTTTGAGAAGGACCACAAAACCTGCCATGGGCATCCTGCAATGCCAGCTGTACATGTCCTTCCTTGGACCTGGTGGGACCTGGGGATAATACTGGAAGCGTATGTGGTAAGCTCCCTTCTAATGAGGCCTTTGTTCTCTCTTCCCCCACAGACCAAAGAAAGATGTCAAAAACAAACAAGAAAAGTAAGTGACAAGCCTTTCCTCCTTTCTCTTTTGGTGGTTGGTTGGTGTTTCCTCTCCCCACTGCCCCTTGCCCTTTTCTTTGGTTGGAGGTATTTACTTGGTGAAGGTGTTTTTGGAAATGGCATATGGTAGTGCATGGAGCGACACTCTGAATCCATTCCAGGTGGGCACAGAAACCCAGATCTGATGGTTATTCCTTCATACCCCATTCTTGGAGCCTGCATGACCCATGGTCATGGCAGTCATTCCTGATGCTTTATCCTGAGTCAGGGAGGTCCCGTCTTGTGTGTCCTACCAGAATGGATTCAAGGTGCAGCCCCTAATCTCCCTTCCCTCTTCCTGGGGTGTTTCTGGTTACTGCAAATCGCTGCCTTTCTTTATGATTAATTTTTTTTCTTGCTGCTTGAGTGAGTACTTGCTGGCTTCTTTCACAGCAGCTTGGGTAGGAACTCTGCTGGCTACACGGAGAGGTGACAATAGAGGTCTGGTGGAGGCAGGACAGATGCCATGCAGGATGTGGCTCTGGTTTTGGTTGGGTGGGGGCCAGGGAGGGTGTAAAGGGAGGTGGATGTCCTGTCTGGGTCTTGGTGGAGGCTTTCATGAGAGTTTTATCAGTCTGATGGATTTGCTCTTGTGACCTGAAGGAGGTTAAGGCACAACCTTCCTTTTCCTTCCTCCCGAAAGTAAAAACGATGTGGAAAGTAGTGAAATAAGCTCTTGTCCTGCAGTAGCTGCAGGGATAATCACAAAATGTGGAACAATACTGAAAAGAAAGTGACCTCTCTGGTGAGAGTCAGCTGGACTTTGCATGGCTGGGGTAGCAGCTCTGCTGGTCAGAAGTATGGAGTTGGGAGAGGAAGTGAATGAATACTGGGAGATGAGGCTGAGCAGAGAGCAAGTGGGAGAGTGAGAGAACTTCTTTCACCCCTCTCCTGGGGGTTGTGTATTTCTAGCTGCCTTCCAGCCTCTCCTCCTCCCCTTGGAAATCTGCTCGTGGCTGCACTGGGCTGTGTGCAGCTGGCACTCCTCTCTGAGCAGGGCCATGCCGGGGGTGGTCGGTCTGCGTGGCTCTGTGGTTTGAAGGTGTGCGTGAGTTGGGTCTGTGTGAACTCTGGTGAGGATGGGTGTGGGTGAAGCAGCCAGCCTGGACTGCGTTGCATTCCCTTTCCTCTTCTAACAGCACCTTGTCCGCTCTTTGCTGGTTCTGCACTCCCTGGGGAAGGAAGGGAAGGAATGGGAGAGACTGGTGTGCTTTGATTTGTGCTGGATTGAAAGTCCTGTTATATTGGTGCCCCTCTCCTCCCTTCAGGTCGATTTTCCTCCCCTCACCGCCTCCTTGTGACTCCTGACATGTAGGGCAGAGGCTGGGAGCGAGCTGATGCTCTGACACTCATTCCAGTGAGACGACTTGAACAGGGCTTAAGAAACACCTGTGGTGCTTTCCCTTCTGTCCCCCATGTCCCCATCACAGCTTCCTCCTGAGGTGGGCTGTGCCAGGGAATGAGGGAGCCTTTGCTGAACTACTGCAATGCTGGGGCTCACTTGCCTGACAAGCCCTGGTGCTTTGCCTAGGGCCTTCTCCTTGCATGTCTCTCCTTTGGTCCTGTGCTAATGTGGCTCAGGAGTAGCGCAGGCTCCAGCCTCCCTCTCTCCCTGCGCTCTCACTGGCCTGTAGAGGTCCACTGTTAGTGTCTAGGCCTGCCCAAGAGTCAGGAGCTACTGGTGGATTTTTCAGAATGGAGTCAGTGCCTTGGCTCCGACTGCTCATCTCTCTGGCAGATACACGTGGAAGGCAATGGGAAGGAGGGAAAGGAGGGAAAATCTGAAAGCTGCTTGCTGGTTATCTCCTGGGTGTCATAACTAGGTCAGGCCTCCCTTTTTCCCCTCCAGTGTTCAGGATAGAGGCTGCCAGAGGGGAGGTTAGCAGACATCCGGTGAGGTCTCCTGGAGCCCTCCAAACCACACGCAGGAGGTGGGATGGGTAAGCAGAGCCTTCAGGCTAGATAACTCTCCCACACAGTGCTGCTGTGTAGACGAGGTCTCACCCCTTGTCTGCAGGGTGCTGAGGCGAGGCCCCCTTTGCTTCCATCCCAAGGCAGGATCACCACCACCCTGGCAGCAGAGCTGTTGGAGCTTGGCTGCCCCCTCCTAGGCCTGGTGCTGGGAAGTGCATCAGGTCAGAGCAGTTTCCTTTTCCCTGGGGAGAGCCTCTCCCCTCAGGTTGCCTCTTGTCCGTCAGTGTGCGCCCATGCTTGTCGCTTGGAACGGTTGTCTGCACTCCCTGCGGTTGCGTGATGCTTTCACAAAGCTTTCTGTTCCTTCCCCTCACACCCTGTCCCTTCCCCACTGCCCCTCTGATCTGGAGGGGCAGCAGATCTGCCTCTGCTGGAAGAAGCCCTGCTGGCGCTGGTCTCTGAGTCTCCTGGCACTGGCTTGGCCATGGGCAGGCTGGTTGTGGTGCTGGCAGGAGCGCAGAAGGGCCGGTGAATGTGTGTGCGAGGTGGAGATCTATGCTTCGGCCTTGGGACCTGCCATCCAGTCCTGCCCCATGTGCTTCCCCCTCCCAGCAAGGCACATGGCTGTATTTTTTTTCCTCCTCTTCCTTGCGTTTTCTTCTGTTTTCTCTCTCTCTCCCTTTCTTTCCTTCTCTCTCTCTTTCTCTGTTTTTTTGTTTTGTTTTTCTTCCAGAAAATCAAAGCGAGGAAAGGGGAAGGGTCAAAAGAGAAAGCGCAAGAAAGGCCGGTACAAACCACTCAGCTTGTACGTTTGTGTCCTCTGCTTGTAGACTTTCTTCCCTCCCTTTCCCCAAAGCAATCTGCCTGCTTGCTGCTCATGCAAATCTCACCCTCCCCTCCCAGTCACTGGTGGGCTGCAGATCCTGCAGGGGCAGCACTGGTGGTGGCACCGCTCTGGCACTGAGGGCATCTCAGGGAAGGTGGCTTTAGCTTGCTTGGCTTTCTAATCTTCAGTGGTGACAATTCTCCCAAGGCACAGGAGTGCGGACGGGTGGGCGAGCGCTCTGCACCCTCTTTTCAACACGTTCTGGTTGCAACTCTCTCGTCCGCTTCCCCCGACTCATCTTGTGCCCTCACTGCTACGGTGACTGGCAACAGGGAGGCTGGTGTCTGCCGTGCATGTGTGCGTGTGCGTGTGTGTGCGTGCGTGTCTGGTGGAGTCACAGGCGGAGAGGAGAGGTGGGACGGCGGGAAGCTGGAGAGGGGGTGCTGGGGAACCGGGCGGGCTCGCTCTCTCCTTTCCTCTCTCTGCTGCGTTTGGTGGCTTCTATCTCCCTGTCTTTCTCTGTCCATTTCGCTCTGCCTCTCTCACGACGTTTCACAGAATTCTGCATTGTAAATTTACGACCCCTTCACAGGACACTCCTGTGTCCTATAGTGGCAAGGTTGGGATGGGGCTGTCAGAAAGGAGGGCAGTGCTGGCTGCAGGAGTAGTCATCTGATGCTGCAGCCCAGCTGCTTTTCAGGGGAGGAGAGACCCTGTGTATTTAACTCGTTTAGCCGCTGGCCTCTTATAGCCCACTTCAGAGAACACCTTTCATTGATATGTCAATAGCTGGCTGGGACCTCTCACCTTCCCATCCTTGCTTTCCCCTTCTTCGTCCCTCTGGCCTGTGCCTATGGATCCAATGCAGCATTTGTGAATACTGTGCAGAGAGCCTTTTTTCTTTCTCTTTACGCTAATGCAAGGGGGTGCTGTCCGGGGGCTGCCGCGGTGCTGCTGGAAAATCCATCAGCCCACGACGCTCCAGTGGGCGGCATGGGGGCTGTGGGAGGGGGCAGAGGGATTGCTTTGATGTTTAGGGTGTTGCATGTGTATTTTCTTTCTGCTGAAGCGCTGTAGCTTAGACATCTTTCCTTTTGCCTTTTTGCAGTCACTGTGAGCCTTGCTCAGAGAGGAGAAAGCACTTGTTTGTACAAGATCCCCAGACCTGTAAATGTTCCTGCAAATTCACAGACTCACGTTGCAAGTCGAGGCAGCTTGAGTTAAACGAGCGCACTTGCAGGTTTGTGTCCTGAAGGATGAAATACACAAAGAGAAAGACAGAGAAAGAGAAAGAGGGGGGAGCTTGCTTCCTGCTGACTTCTGGCACCAGTGCTGTGTGACTACTTCTTTTCGCTGTCCTACGTGGGCCAGAGGGCAGAAGGGCTAACTGAGATGAGGACAGAGTTTCCCTGTGTCAGAGGGCAGCTGTGCATTTCAGATGTGCTGTCAGGACTTGGATGGGGATGGCTCCTGGAGACAGGGCATTTGTATCTAAGGTATCCTTTCCTGTAGAACAGAGTTTGTCTTGCTGAGGTAGCCATGAGGAGGGTCTGTAGCCCTCTGTACATTACCTGTATGCAAACTCTGAGCATACTGTTGGATAGAGAAATACCCTTAGCTGACTAGGATTTGACCACCTCTGCCTTCCAAGCCCTTTTTACGTGGCTTGTAGGTAGTGCTGTATGCGGAAGGAGGAAAGCCAGGCCAGGATCCTCCATCAAGGCTTTCCCCACATTCTCCTTTGTCTCTTCGTTCTTCTGAAAGTCAGGGAGAGTACCCTGGCCCCTTGCACTGTACTCAGAGTTCCCTCTCCATGTCTTGGCCAGAGTTGTGTTTTGGGCGGCTGCACTCAGCATTAAGCGAAATGTGGCAGGATTAAGTCTGTCTCTGGGTGAAGGCAGGCAGAAGTCTGCAGTTTGAATGGGAGACACGAAGACACTGTGTGGTTAGTGTTTGTTCAGAGATCCATGCTGTGCATGTGTCATCTGAGTGCTACCTGTCACACACCATCTGTGGCATAGACACGTGCAGAAATGGATTCCTTGTTCTGAACTGAGTGCTTTGGTGAACTCGGGGGTCTCTTGACTCACAGCAGCTGTGAGTGCATCTCTGGTGTGGGATCATTCTACCTAACCAGAGAGAGACATGGAAATGGGGTTGCTAATGAGCCCTTGGCTGTGACCCTGAACTCAGGTCCCTCTCTCAGAGATCTAGGAGATTCCTCCTGGTAAAAGAGTGTTGCAGTGGCTGGATGGGACAGACTAAGGGAGAGAGATACAGGGTCCTCTGTGGCTACACCCTGAAAGAGGAGGCATCCGTTTGCCTCTGTTTCCCTGCCTGGAATTGGCTAGGTGAATGAGGCTGATGCAAGTAGCATGTATTTCTTTTTGGTGTGAAAATGCTTTGTGCCCAAACCAGAGTGGCATTGGCGCTGCCACTGTGGTGGAAACTGCTCTGTATACAGAGGAATTTTCTGGGATGCTATTATTTCAGTGGGAAAGCCATTGATGTAGAAGCCAGAATAGAGTAGCTTCTGGAGTTAACCTTCTCCCAGCAACCCCTGGCATGTGAGACTGGACCTAATTTTCCCTCTCTACTTTCCCCAACCTCCAGATTAGCTGGAAATTACCCTCCAGAATTTGAAAGGTGAGAAATAGTAACAAATACAAATTAAAAACAATGCCCCAAAGAAGTCACGATGGCAGAAGGAGTTTACTAGTTTCTCTTATTGGTTGCTGTCTTTGGTGGGATAATTGGCATTAAGGGAGGTTTCCAGAGCTGCTGTGTTGGCCAGAAAGATAGGAAGCAGTCATAGGAGTGTGTAGCTTATCTGTTTCCAGATAAAAAGCTAGTTAAGGTGAAGTTGCTCGTGCTCTTTCTTGTAGAATTAGAATTGGACCCTACCTGGGAGGGTGAATTCTCGTTTCTCCTGCTGCTTCTTCAGGCTGTTGCTGCTTTCTCTGGTGCTAACTCCTGCTCATGGCAGCTAGTCAAATGAGAGGCGCTTTCTTTTTACCTTCTTTCCTGCATGAGGCCTTGTTGTCTGCACTGCTTCCAACCTAAACAAGAGGCTAGGTGGGGAGCTGAGGGAATGCGTCTTTCCGCATGCATTGCTTAGCCTTGTTTTTCTGTGTGTTTGTGTGTATCTATGTGTGCATGGTGTGAGAGTGCAAAAAAGTCACTCGGCTCATCTGTGAGGAAGCCTCTGATTCTGCTCCTAAATTTCCCCCTGTACCAGTACCAGTACCCCCTTTCTGCCCTAAGTGAACCTGGGGGAATAGAACTCATCGACCTCTTCATGGGTCGAGGTTCTCAGGTGTTTTGCCTCATCTGCACAGCACTTCACCCCACCAGTGACGTCATGCCATGTCTTAACACCATGTGCTTAAACACATTAGCCACCTCCCTTCCTTCCCTTCCCTGTCCTACCTGCACCCCCGTCACAAACACTAAACCCTCCTTTTATTTTTGCCATCCCTCTCCTCTCTAACAGATGTGAAAAACCGAGACGGTGAGCAGCGGAAAAGAAGGGGGAACAGCCCTGTTTCTGGAGCCTGATTTCTCGCCTGGACAGAAAAAAAAACAAAACACTAATCCAAATGAACCCTAAAAATGAAGGATCGGTAGAGCACAGCACTTTCAGTACGGACGATGGACTCCGGAAGGAACATTCCCCAAGGCACCCGCCGCACAGAATTCACCTTTGGGTTTTGAACTGTTTTATTTTATTTTCTTTTCATGCTGCTAAATAACAGAGCCAGGAAGACTATAGGGGTGTATTTGATGGGTTTTGCCATGCATATATATATATGTGTGTATACATACATATACATATATATATATGTATATATATTTTAACCACATCTATATATACATATATGTATATCTTAACCACACACACACATATATATAAAATATATATATATACTGATTATTTTTTTTAACATTGCTAATGTTATTGGTGTCTTCACTGGATAATACTCGACTGCTGTGGACACAAGCGGGCTACTTGGGGCATAAGAAACAAGCTAAGACTGGACTTGAGTAGAAGCGCTGGGTGTAAACTTCTTAACTCTAACTGACTTGTGCGGCCTCCGCTGTTTCTCTGTAGAGTGTGCTGTACCACAGACCACCTTCTCCTTGCCTGGGACAGGGAGGAGAGGTGATGGAGAGGATGGGCAGGGAGTTCCAAAGAGCGGCATCCTAGGGTGCGATGGGTCAAAGGCCAAGGAAATGGCCATCTCCGTGATCAAGGATTCCTCCTCCCCTCTCTTCCCCCAACCTTCGCCCTTACTCGTCTCATAACCTGCCTGCCTTGCTGGGACATGGGATGTCAGTGTACATTTTGCGTTGACTTTATTCGCTGTAGAAACTTTGCCAGAGAAACGTGCTGGCTTCTCTTAAGGATGGTGGGCAGCTGATGCACACTAACTTTCCATTCAAGGAAGTATCACAGGAATCTAGATTTCCCGCCCTTGGTGGCTGCAAAAGGACACAAGGCCTACAGTGTGCTGAAGCAAGAATGGGGACCGGTGCATAGCCACACAGTTATTCAGCACTGTCTGCTTTCTTCATGCACAGAGCTGCCACTCAAGAGCATCCAAGATGCTTATGGAACATTTCTGGAAAGGGATATTAATCAAAAGTATATACACAGTAGGGGGGTGTGTGTGTATGTGAATGTGTGCATTTGTGTCTGTGTGTATGTATGCTTGTGTTTTTCTGTCTTTTTTATATATATATATTTATTTTTATACATATATATATATAAAAAAAAATAATATATATGTATGCCAAGATTGAAGGGGGGAATAGAATACATTTTTTGTTGCCTTCAGTTTATGTGCCCGGTGTGAATGACCCTTAAGAACGTGAAGATTTTTTTCTTTTTTTATGACATACTGTAAATATCAGGCCCCTTTTCCATGTCTTGGGCTGGGGAATCAAATGTGAAGGCAGCCGGAATCCCTAAGCCGTGTCCAAGAATCTTGGCTATGTGTGTATCTGCAATATACACTGTGGTGTATGTGAAACCCACCGTACACACGCGCGCACACACACACCCCCCTGAAAGCGTGTTTGTACATCTATGTGGATATATATAATCTAGTTCTGTGATTAAAATTATTATTATTAATAATAATAATCAAAAAGGTACTCGGTCTGTGTCAGAATGCTGCCAAACATCATCTGCAATTGAATTTTCAACGCCTGATAATGTACAACACGGAAAGCTTCCAAAAAGACAAGACAGTCTAAAAACAGACTCACAAGTGACTACTAACCACTAGGAACTCCCCATCCGACTGGTGGCTGTCAGGAGGAGGCAAAACACGCGGGTGGGTGCTTGCATCTGCAATGTGTAATACTCATGCTGCATCGTGCGCAAGACAGAGGCTTCCGATCGGGGGGAGGGAAGAGAAAGTGTTTTATATACTTATTTAATATCCCTTTTTAAATTAGAAATTAAACAGATAATTTAATGAGAGAGTAGGGATTTTTCAGTATTCTTTGTTAATATTTAATTTCAACTATTTATAAGCCGTACCTCTTTTTTTTTTTTTTTTTTTTTATTTGTACTGGTTGTGTATAAATTTAACCTTCCCCTTGTCCCGTCCCATCTCTCCCCAATTGTTGGCAGAGTCAGTAGCATGTTATGGGCAGTTATTTAATTAATTTCTCTAACACCTACCCCTACACATTCCTATTGAGACAAGAGTTAGATATACATCTACATACTATATATATATTTGGCTATGTGTTTGTATATATATATATGTTTATGTATATGTGTGATTCGGATTAAATAGACGCTACGATTTTTTTATATATGTAAAAAGAAGAAACAGGAAAAATAGAAAATTCTACATCTTGAATCTCTCTCCTTTTTAATTTTAATATTTGTTATCATTTTATTTATTGGTGCTACTGTTTATCTGTAATAATTGCGGGGAAAAAAGATATTAACACTACATATTGTGTCTAGTGAATTTTTTCAAGATATTCCTTAGTACATATTTATTTTTAAACAAAGAAATTACAGATATATCTTAAACAGCGACGACGACGACAAACAAACTTTTTTTTGTATTAAAGAATTTAATTCTGACCTTGATTTCCTTTGCCTTCTCCTTCTGCCTTGCATCTTGGTTGTCTTCCATTGTGTAGCAGTGCCTCCAGCATTGCCTCTGGCGGATACAGGGCACCAGCAACCTGCCAGCTGGACTCTTGGATTTGGGCCCAGAGCCTCCAAAAGCATCTAGGTACTTTAAGCCTGGTGAGATGAATGGGAGGTAGGCACCAAAATACATGTGTGGAGCTTGGCCCGAGTTCCCTGCTCTGTGAGAAGAGGGTGGTCTTACGGGCAGCAGTGAGGGGCAGGACTTCTGGGTTCCTTCCCTGTCTGATGCCAAGGAGCATGGTGATGGTCCCAGGCCTGCCTCTGTCTTGGGAGCCAAGCCTTGTGTGCTGGGCACTGTACAAGCACAAATAGATGCGTTCCTGGTGGATCTTACAATCCAAGATGAAAGCAATGCTCTGAGCCTGCCTGTCACTGGTGATGGACTTGGTGTTTGCTGTTGGAGCAGGGTGTGTAACCCGCTGTCAGCGATGGCTCAGCAAGACCTCACCATCCTGGACATTGCTGAACAAAGAACTGTCCAGCTCTGAATGTGCTCATCATTTCCTGAAGGATTTTGATACCATCGCATCTCTTGTGAAATGCTTTGGGGTCTTTGGGAGGAAAAGCTCTTTGGAAGCGGTGTTGTTTCCTTAATCAGCCGTAGAGGTGAGTGTATCATGTCCGTCATCTGGCCACACTGGAAAGGAGCATACAGGATGTTCTGGATGTCTGGGAGGCGACTCACCTGGGTTAGTGCAGACCACTGAGTTCATGGCTGCCTCAGTCATGAAGGTGAAGGATCTGGCTTTTATTTGGGGTGGACTTTGGTAGCTCAACAGGTGGATCTGCAGTCACAGCCTTTGCAAAGGGCAGAATGGAGGAAAGATGACAAGTACTCAAGGATGCTCTGGTTCATCTTGTTCAGTAACATCTCGAGTGCAATAGAGAGGTGAGAAGGTGAGCAGGGGCTGTCTCTCTATGCTGCTGCGTGAGGAACCCAGAAAGTTGCTTCCTTTGCGTGTTCATCACCAGCATTTGGTTTGCAAGGATCTATGGGCTGTTTCATAATGGCTGTGCGAGGTGACAGTGAGCCTGACCTCAATAGACCTGCATTGTTTCTGTCGCCTGGGAAATGTTTACAAGTCATCAAACTGAAAAGGTTGAAACCAGCAGGTTGCTCCCTCCAGCTGAGCTGAATGTGAAATCTCAGCATGAGCGAACCCAGTTTACTCTGGATGGATGGTACAGTAGGTCTGAATTGTCAGTGGCAGCACGTCAAACCTTGCCATGGATGGTGAGCTGGGCTGGTCGCTCCTGTCGCCTGGAGGATAAGAGTATGCTGCCTCCCACTCTTTTCATACCTCTGAGAGCTCAGAAGCTGGACATCTGCAGAGCCAGGTTGACATGATAGCCACCTGCTCTGAGACAGTGGCCGTGCCTGGGTGGATGGCATGTTTCAGATGGGACAGCTCTGCCTGCTCAGAAAATTCTCTTCTGTGTGGCTGCAGTGGAGCTGGGGCAGCTGCTTCAAACCACTGCAGCAAGAACCTGCCCAAGCCAGCTCTGAATGAGGTACCTGGGGCCCTGGAAGCAGTCCAGCTCCTCTCCTTTATCCTCCAGGGTGGATGTGGCTGGGCTGTCACCTCTTGTGAGGGGCGCCATGCGCAGCTCCGTGTTGGAGGGGAGCTCAGCCTGGCTGGAAAGGCTGTGCCTGAGTGAGGACACTGCTCCTGCAGGGGTTGGAACATAAGAGTGTGGCTGCCCCTCAGCCTGCCTGGGACCTGGCTCACCTGAGCCCTGTGCTGAGGTGAGGCAAGGACACATGGAGTGAGGCCAGGTTTGCAGGCAGGCGCTCTGATCTCGGCACACAGCCCTTCACCCTGCGCACAAGAACTTTGCTTCAAAGGCTTCCAGTCACATCTGTGTTTTGGGGGCTGGCTGATCAAAATGTTATCTGCAGGCAGCCGGCTGGTGTTTTCCTCGAGCCTGCTTCACCTATTCTGTGGGATTCAAATTGTGGAGGCACAGTGAAAGGCAGAAAAGGGTGCCCTGGGCTGAAAACCCAGAAAACCCCAATGGCAGTGGAAAAAAATGGTGCTTTTGGTTGGAAACTACTTCTGTCTTTCCCGTTTGGCACCTGCTGGCTGGTTTAACCCCTTGTTGCTGATGTCTTATGCTGCTGATTGTAAGTCAGCCAGCCATTGCTTCAGGTCCATCACTGCCTGCAGTGCCTATGTTAGAATGCCCGTAAAGCTTCTGTCCTTCAGCTCAGTCCCCACGAAGGACCTTGGGAGCCCAAAGGAAATCTGTCTCACATGTCCCCCACCATTCGCCTGCAGGATTTTTGGTAATGAGAGATGGGTATTTTTATCCCAGGCCATGCGGTCAGCGTGCAGACACCCTCTCTGTGCTTGGGACACCTGAAATTTAAGGCTAATCCCTGTCATCCAGCACAAGATCTGCAGTCCAGGTCTGTGCAAGCACTGTGCTTGGTCCCAGTTCCCCAGTCGGGGCTGGGCCAGCATGGGCCCAGTGGCATCCCCAGTGGCACTGTGCCACCCCACAGGCAGCTGCTGGCTCCCACTGTGCCCCACAGCACCTGACACCATACAGAACAATGGGGCGGCTGAGCTGCTGGCCAACCCAGAGGGACCAGGCGCTTGTGCCTCGACCTCCAGCCAAGTACCCTTTATCTCACAGGAGGTGGCAAGTTGTGGATAAGAGCTGGGAGGTGATATCCCCTGCACCAGCAGCAAAGGAGGGAGTGAAAGGAATGCAAAGAGTGCCTGACCACAGATTTGGGGAAGGCTTTTCCTTTGGTTGGGAAGCTGTGGGGACCCTGGGGGCTTTGCACCACAGGGAGGACAAGGGTCAAGTTCCCCCTCAAATGGCAGTTGTTTGCTGGATGCCTGCATCAGGAAAGGGGATTTGAAGTCTCTCCCGGAGCTCACTGTCTGTGTGAGGGAATTGCAGGCTTACACAGGCAAATGGGATTGTTGGGCATGTGCCTAAGGCTGGCCTCCCAAGGCCAAAAAAGCCTCCTTCCCATAAGGACTTTTTCAGCTTGCTGCCTGAGCTGCCTCCATACATCCAGGTGGGTGATGCTGAGGGTTCAGAGCTGAGACACATGTTAGGAAATATCTTCACTTCTGGGCTGTATCTGTACATTGTGATATGGGGCTAATCTTGCTGGTTCCTGCTCTTCATTTTTACGTCATTCTTTCAGATGCCCCAGACACTTCTTTGGGGGTCAAAAAGAAAGCCCAGTCTCTCCCTAACCTGAGAGTGTCCAAGCATCTCCTTAGGCATTGGGGCTGTCTGCTGCAGCCTGCTGCCCCGGGCTTCTATGTGCCTTTAGCACCACGTACCTCTGCTGCCTATCTGTCTCTTGGCCAAGCCTGGTGCATAGCAGAGGGAAGGTGTGCTGCAAGCCTGATGCCAGCATGGCAAGGGTTTAGCTGGGGAGGTTACTTTGACACCTCCTTTGCCAGCTATTCTGGGAGCTGTTGGTGTGCTCTTGCTTGGAGCGTGTTGTGTGGTAGGAGCTGGGCTGGGAAAGGCACCTGGCTCTGCTGAGCACCCCGATGGGACTGCTGATGAGTGGCAATTCACGTGGAGCACTCTCCAGGGAGGCCTGTGTAATGCCAAAATTACCTGGGATGCACGATGGGATGCTTGCTTGCGTCATGTGTGGTGCCTTGCAGGTGAGAAGCTTTGGCTCTAGATGATAATGAATCTTGGTTGAATGTGTCTGTGGTGAAGGAAGAATGTGTCTCACACAAGCCCTTTGGTATGCAGCCCTGGGAGCATTATCCAAGCAAAAGGGAGAGAGGCCTAATCCCTTAGCTGCAAGCCTTACAGGGAACTCGAGAGACGTGGCACAAGATGAGTTCGATGATCACCTTAAGCAAATAACTTAGTTCCATCACCTCTTCAGAGTTTTTAAGGCCAGAAGCATGAACTGCCTGAGCTGACCAGAGTCCTTCACCTTCATCTTGCCCATAACTCTTACCTGAGACATGGTGTACACTTTGGAAAGGCATCCAAGCTGCCATCTCACTGCCTCTCCTACCTGTCCTTCTAACCTACAGGGAACCTGCAAGCACTGTGCCACAAACATATCGATACCCAGGGAGTATGTATTTGTGTCGTCAAACTCCTGCCAGCACCCCTCCCTGCCCTTCCTGCCTGTGCTTGGCTCTGACTCCATGAGTGCAGAAGCAAAAGCCCCAACAGAGCTTTATGATGAGCTTATTCCTTTCCAAGAAGCCCCTCATCTGGCTGCTTGGAGGCCAGTCCAGGTACCAGCTTTTCAGAGCCTTCTGGTTTTTTGCATTGCAAGGACCTCACGTCTGGGAGGAGCAGCCTGGAGCCTCCTGAGCAGGTCACGTTTCTCCTAAGGTTGCTGTTGCTCCTGGGGAATAAGAAGCCAACTCCTACTTTTTTTGATTTATCTCACCTCCGGAAGCGCGGCGAATGGGGGGTCAACAGCACTGGATCTGATTGCTTCCAGTCTCCGCAGGCACCATAAATTGTGAGTCATAGGATCATCCTGAGTTACTCGGTGACTAATCTGAGGCTGGTCTTGAGGCTCAGGGCCAATTTCTTGCTTGCAGTATTGGCTTGCCAGGGCACTGTATTGTGAACGTACAGCGCGGACCTCGTCAATACACAGCACCTCGGAGAACTGGCTGGGTTGCTGGAGGAGGTGCTGATGAGTCAGGGAGTGGCACTGCCCTCTGCACCAGTACCACTGGGGTGGCTGGATGTAAGTGCAAGAGGCTGTGACATTCGTGAGTCACTCTGTGGGACTGAGTGTGATCCACACCCCTGCTGAATTGCTGGGACCAGTCACGAACTCAGAGACATCCCAAGAGGAGCAACTTCTGGGTTTAGGTGGTCTTGTCAACCGGTTGCAAATGTGCTGCTGTTCTGAACATGCCTGTCTTTGTGCAGGTCATTCCCCACAGCCTGAGCTGTTGCACTGCCTGGGC